TTATGTGCAATGTACAACTTATTAAATTGAGTCCTGATGTGTGTAAATCTTATTTATGCTCTGTTTATGTGCAGGGTTTTGTTTTGATTTACGTCCACGTGTCTGGCATACAATAAATCGGCGACCAGAGCTAATAACCTATACCCTTCGTGGTTCCTTATCCTCAAACACTTGGGGTCCTTACCTCAGCCCTGGACCTAACGTCAGGGAGGGTACCAAACCAAACCGAATTTCAGCCTTTGGCCGCGAAAGTTTGGTTAATAAACCATAACTAATAATAAAAATAATAATAGTAAGTAGTAGTATTAAGTATATATGTATGACATAGGCAACACACAGTAATCCTTTCAGTAGGTAGTCTACCAGGAAGTCAAAGCAGTTTTTGCTACCGAACAGAATTTGGGCCAACAGATTGGAGCGTGCTTCTGCAAAAAGGACCTTTTTTTCTAAACGAAGCGTGTTTTTAAAATAGAATGTGTTTATAAACGAATGTCATGTTTAAAGAGAACGTTTTTTTTTTTACTTTTGAAATGCATTTTTAAAATGAAGTACTTTTTTTTAGATTCTGAAGAATTTTTAAAGAGCGGATTAACTGTGTTAAGGGAACATATTTTTTAGATTGAAATAAATTTGTGAAGAGTGAAGATTTTTTCAAAATTCGAATAAGATTTACAAATCCAATATGTTCTCAAGACTGGAACGAAAGTCCAAACTTGCTTAATATTGGAATAACATTATTGACTCCAAATATGTAAAGATTGGAAATTAAACCTTTCCAAACGTAAAGCTGTCATTTGTCGCACACATTTTACTTTAAATCTCATTTCATCCGAATTTGAAAAGCATCCGAATTGAGAAAGCAACCACTCTTTTTGACGGTGTTCAGCCCAAAGTTCAGTGCCTTTTTGGACAATTCGTCTGTTTTCAGCAAGCGCATGCTCAGATAAAATCCTACAGTGATTCCCGTTAACTTTTACGGTCGTTTCCTTTAGGGCCTGCAGTTACCATGTCGAGTGCAGTACACACGTATGTGTGTGCGTACGTCGTGCAGTCTAGTCTGTGCATTTCGTAAGTCAGGTTCTCAACGATAAAGGCACATGCGTCGGATTTCCGCAGCATGCAACATGGCAGCTTCCGACAAATAGCTTTTTCGACTTTATGTCTAACGTTATCACCGCAAGACAGAGATCCGTGTGCACAGTAATAGACATCTTTGGGGCAAAGGGAAAACTTCGCGTCGCAGCGTTTATCAATATATATACCGAGATTTTCTTCCGATATTTCTTTTTTATGGTGGTCAAACAGCGTGGTATTCGTAAGTAACTTGACATACATGCGTCTTTTTTTTATTTGTGTTGGGCGGTTTAAGAACAAAGTCTATCTGTTCAAAGTCGTTTAATTCACGACTGGCTTTGTAAGCGGTGATCGTATTCGGTGGAGTGGTAGACATTTTAGTCGTTTGCGTACCGATGTATTTGTAAGCCGCAAAGTTTATATGTCGAGTATATACACTGTAGGCTCTTGGAGTTGATAGCGGATTTGATGTCAAACGATATTTTCCGGAATTTTGTCTCTGGTGCCAAATTTGTAGTCCGGATTTAGACCGTAATGCTTGGGATTTCAGATTTTTGTCGTTTTTGGAGAGCGCGCGGTAGAAAGGGATTGATAGATTTTTTTGAGTTTTTTAATTTAGATTGTCACAGAAATCTCCATTCTCTACCACTCCCATGGGATTATTTTTCAGCTGGAGCCAAGGCTAACCAGGGCTAGCTAAGCCCTGTCATACATCATGTCTAGCAGGCCTGCCGCCCTCTCTTATGTCTTTAGAGTCATTGAGTGGTAGTTGGGCGGGGGGAATGCCTGTGGCTTGGCAGTGGGTGAGTGACTGAGGCTTGGACCCTTAGATCCCCCTTCAAATTCAGCGGGACTAGAAATAAAAGTACCGTAACACGTTTTTTGATGGTTGTAGGGGCTAGAAGACACCTACTGAGCAATTTAAATGCCATTAAAATGATGAAATAAATTACATCAGAGTCTTGCATTCCTCCATTGCTTCATCAATAATGGTGCTACCGTCCAGCGAGATATCAAAATATGCGGTAGGAAAAGGTGTTCCTTTTAATTTTTTCATTTAATTTGTAATTAAGGGTCCCATGAAAAAAAGTGGATAATTTCTGCTTGTGATGCGCATCTTTTAAATTAAAAAAAATGCCGAGGCCCTCAGTATACTGTATGAAACCATTCAAGAAAAAAAGATGAGCAAGCAAATAGTGTGCTTGTTAGAGAGCAGCGGGATTGGCCGCCTACAGAGAGTTTAGAACTGAAACAGTTTTTAACTGAAAAAAAAGTAAATCTTCGTCACTGATTTTATCTATATGTTCTCTTATGTAATATTGTGAAAAGGTCACCTACAGATGGGTAAAAAGTAATTTCACTAAGAATCTTTCACTACTGGCATTATCCTTTCTATATGTCTCCTCATTCGTGCACATTCTTTTCAATCCATGTACATGTACTTACATTAACGAGGAGAATTTATAACTTTGTGAAGAAATACCTGGTCACATTTGAAGGGTTGTGGACTTCAAAATTTATCGTATATGCGGATTATTTAGTCAAGTTCATAGCCTTATAATTGTAATCTACTTACCGTTTTTTGTTCTTAATTTAATATTATACTTAGAGACTCACAAAATGCATTAACTTATCATCCACCTAAGAGTGTACCAAGTCGTACGGGTTGTCATGTATTTAAGATTTCGGAAGTGAACGGTCAGTTAGAACAGTATTTCTCTTTCATGTTAGGCAGTATTTCGGTTTCTATTAATATGCCAGCCAACATTTTACAGAGGCATATTTTGAAGGTAATTTTTAAAGAAATGAAAAAAGTAATTTAGAATTCTGAAAGTTTTGCAAGTTATTTTTCTTGTACCCAAGGGTTTGAGGTCATTTCACCTGATTTTCTTAAGGCAACCCCAAGATAAATCTCAGTGAAAGTCAGTGATCAAATGTAATCTATGTCCCTTTATAACATATAAACACCTTTGGGGGAACACCTTTCTTCTTTTTTACTTAGAAATGTATGGTAGAATACAAAAGTGTATACCCGTTGTACCAGTTACCTGACAGATTACCCTTGAACAGCATCATTTATTCCCCACAGGTATGACTGGTGGTGCCATCAATATTTCAAGAGGTTGGGGATTCCTGTGGCCCCATACTACCCGGTAATCGGCAATGCCCACCAATGGCTATCGGTAAGTGAAACATTACTCGAATTATATAAACTATTACTGCAATTTATGAATATAATTCTTTCGGGTTATATTTCTTTATACCAAAAAAGACATTCATCAAACTACATGTATGTCTATCATGGAAAATCGAGCAAGATTTTAAGCAAGATCAAGAAGGTATTCCAGATACTAAGATTGGTTGAAAATAATTTTGATTCAATTTTTCAAACCAATGCAGAAAGGTAATAACAACTTTGGCGAAGAATGCGTCAGGAAATACGGGAAAGTCGTTGGGTAAGAATCAAGACCTATTTTAAAGCATTAATGGCAGTTAATGAAATTCTCGATTTCTGCCCTATATATTCACAGAATAAGTGCTCCTCCCCGCAACTTCTCCCTTCAGGAATGTACATTTATTTTTTTTCATAAACGTGTTCAATTTTAATACATGTACATTTTCTGTGACTTAACCGCTACAGCAATGCCGCCTGGTGGGTACAATGTCTGATGTCAGCAAGTTGAGAGAAAAAAGAATAACAAACTTAACTTCCATATTTATTCGAGAAAACTCCTCATATTTAAAACATCTGCTTTTTTATGGTAACGAAGTATGATGAAAACGAGGAATTATTTTGGATACCGTGGCAATCTAACAAAATGCCTAGAAAACATTTATTTAAATGTCCAGTGTCCCATTTCCTTTTCAGAATATACAAATTCCGCTCACCGCTTCTCTATGTGTCGGATAAAAACATCGTGAAAAGGGTTCTGGTTACCGACTTTAGTAAATTTCCGAATCACTGGGTAAGCACATGTAAATAAAAAAAAACAAGAAGAAAAAACATGCTAACTATTTTTATCAGAAAATGATATCGCTTGAACAGCATGCGCTGCTGCTGCTAGTTCTGTTGTTATTGTTTAAGATTTGACATTGTTTTGTTGCTATAGTCGTTGTCTATATTACTTAATAAATTTCCAAGTCACTGGGTAAGAACATTCCAAATTAAACAACAAAAGTAAAACAGGCAATCGCAAGAACGTTTAGTTTGTTATATCAAAGAAGTGACGATATTGTTGATTCATTTTTATTTTTGCCGAAATGTCTATTCTATGCTGTTGCAAACCTCAATCGTGCACTGGATATGGGCGTGTTTGAGTCAGTTTACACGGGCAGGGTAACCTGTATAGAAAGAGGCGAAATATTTAAGGGGCATTCGATCGGGTAAGTAAACGAAACTACGGCTCCTATACAATTTGTGTTCACCCCCAAATTTCAACTGGGAGGGGGTCAATAGAGGAGCACGGAAATTCGGGAGGCGCACGTGCTCTTGTACATACTATCCTCTAGTTATGCCACCGTCCACACAATGGTTGTATTGATTTTTTTTTTCGCTGCAACCAATTCGGTTTTGTTACAGGACATCCCAGCTCTGGGTTTCCCACTTGACAAGTCTTTAACGTACATGAAAGGTCAGCAATGGAAAGACGTTCGTGCAATCATGACTGCGTCTTTCACGGCAAGCAAGCTGAAGCAGGTAAATCGCACCAACCACTTGTTCTTGAGACGAAAGGCCAATGTATTACATGCTTAGGAACTACCTGGCATTAGCAGGTTCCTTTATTTTAAGGTTAAATGTGTGCGTAAGGCGACAAGCATTGTTGCATGATAATAATGTACGTTGCGGTTGTTCTCCACATAAATAGATGGTGGGTATATTCAACGGCATCTGTGACCCTCTGCTTGAAAACATCGCAAACGCCCACGTCCATAACAAACCAATCGATGCAAAAAAGTAAGTATGCCTGCTTTGGCACTAATTGCTGTTCGTATTATCTTCACCAAGTGCATCAGGGCAGCGGGAATACTCTACCTGATTGAAATAAAAAAAACTGACCGACCGATCAACCAATTAACCGACTATAGCATAAACCGTCGAAGCGACCCACTAACCGACCAACTGACCAACGGACGAATCATGAACAACCAAAACAGTAAACAAAATTTATGTTTGTTTATAGGGTTTATATATTATGTTCGTTTAAAAATCAGCATAACCTTTGAATTCGAGATTTTGGTTGTCTTTGAAGGAAAGTTTGTCATAAAACATTTGTCCAATACAGTTTGGGAAATTGCTGTATCCTCTGTCCTAGCGAAACATTATGAAACGGTTGCATAAGAGCGTCAGTCTTGCCGACGATGATCTAAATGAAGTGGGGAAGAATTGCAATTGATCATGGTTATTTCTTACCATTCAGTTGTGAATGGTGAGAAATAAATTTTACAGCAAAATCTACTTTGTGTAGATGTCACAAAAGGTTGAAAATAATGTCATGTCTTGCCGTTTGCCGGTGCTCTTTCTGGTTAGTTTTTCAACTTTCTGTGTGTGTTGGGGTGTTTTTCGAATTTGTTTCGTGCACTCTTAACAATGCATAATGTACGTATTAAGAGAGCAGCCCGTGTAATTAGCTATAAAAAGATACATAAAATGCTAACATCAGCTTAGATGGCTTCAAGTCATGGCTGTAAGTCAAACAGTTCACCGGGTGACTCCCATATGAACTTGGGAATGCAAACAACCTAAGTACAAGCCACAAACTTTTCGCCTGAAAAAAAACAAACAAATTAAGGGACAGGTTTATAGGAGCAGCAACATTTTATCGTTAGGTAAATATTTTGTCGTACAACCCCTAATCGATCGAACATTGAACAGTGGAGAGGTATCCAAATATCTAGATTTCTCTACAGCTTTACCTGTCTTAATTTACACTTGACCATTGTCCCTTCCAGGTGTATGTACCCAAAGACCAAATGAAAAGATTCCTCTAGAGACATATTGCCAGGCATTAAAGATATATCATTGCTATGAGATTAAAGATTAACATTGTACGGCAGGCAGTCAGGTGTGTTGCGTACAAAGTTTTGGTTTTGCTTATGCTTTTGGAGTTTATATAGCGTTAGCATCCCACATCAAAAACGTATGTTTCCTTATGCTCCGAAACATACATGGTGTATTTTTTGCAATTGAAAATGTCCCTGTGAAAACTGTCTATCCGTATATCTTGCCTTCAAGGTCCCTTAGGACCTTGACTTCTGTGTCAAAGGCACTGTCATTAATAAACCCAACCCTCTGCATTATAATCCATTTTTAACAGCTGCCATCCTGAGTTGTCACAAAATAGGGGCCGTTTGACGGCGTTATTTTCCAAAGCATACCCACGGAGCTCTGGAAGTGCCATCCAACTTGTTGAGATGTTGATTTTTTTTCTAAGAATGACGACATCATACAGGCAGTGTATCATGGGATGGCGACATCGTAAAAGTTAGATGACGACATCCTATCCTGAGATAATCATTACCTCAGGATGTCGGTAACCAGGGGCGTCCAGCAAACACGATGTCTACATCACTAGTTTTACACAACAGGCGGTGAGACATCATGGTGTTTTATCAATCTGATTAATATCACGTATCACAATAGGACAATGCTTTGAAAAACAGTAGCACATAACGCTACCTGTGCGTTTATGAAGATGTTTTTGTCAATGCACCTATTGACAAATAATGTCATTATTTCACGTTACAATGTCATCCCGTGAAAAGTTACTTCAGGATGTCGTCTTTCAACATTTACGGTGATAAATTATTGCAGGATGTCATCATCCCGCTATAATTATCTCAGGATGTTGACACCTTGCCTTAATAATGCAGTCACTTCGAAAAAAATGCATGGATCTCAACAAGTCGAATGACACTTGCAGAGCTCCGCACACCCGTAGACAACCAAGGATCTTCATTTCCGTGAATATTCCGATGTTTTCTGGAGCAAGGGTAAGAAGGAGCCATCAGATATAACATTCAACAGAGAGTGCTAGAACAGATGCACCTGCTATATAGAGATAGTAGGGACCAACGGTCGACTGAGCACCATCAGAAACAACACATAAGCAAAGCTTTAACAGAGCTTAGCATCATGGATATAACACTGTGATGAAGTTCAGAAGTTCTCAATAGGCTACAATGATTTTCTGGCTGCCCACATACGCAAAAAAGTAAAACGAAAAAAGGGCATTTTTTTCTCATTTTTCACAAATAAGCAATCATATCTGTCATTTTCTGGTTGAAATTAAAAATATGCATATAATTGGGGTCCAGGCTTGACTTCCAAAGGGCCGGGTCACTGGTGAATGTGGTAGTTTGGTTAGCTTTGTGAAGTCTGTGTTTCCCCTTGAAATTAAAGGATCGTATGTCCTTTGAGTAAACAAGCCCAAGCAGTCATGCTGAAAGGTTGATTTTTATATTGGAGATGTTTTGCAGTCAGTAGCTTTGGTATGTATGGCTATTAGCAGTACATCCACGGCTTCACAAGAGCATGCTGGTGCATCGATCAACAAAATACTTTGTATATACTACATAGATTGTGCACTTATTATTGCTGGTTGCACTGCTTATGATGGCCTGACCTGCAGCGAGTACTTCGCGCTAAAAGGCGTGTTATTTTTGGATACCCCCCAGTATTTTCTAGGGCATGTTCTGTCCAGGAGATGGGACTGTTGTCAAAAAGTACTGAGTTCAAGAGAAGAAAAACTGAGCTCTGGTGAAGTGTAACATTTCTGCCAAATCAACTTCGTGATGAGTGAGATTTATACTCAAGTGGCAACTGATGAGGAGATCGCAATTTGGCAGTACGCTTCTCTGAAAACATCCAATGCAGATGCAGTTTTACAGAACATTAGGAATTGGTACAGATAGGGAGTAAAATTCATCCATATGTCTGATGTTGTAATATTCAAAATAAGAGATTTATGAATAAGAACCCACACTTCAAAATCTGCAAATGTAAATGTAAAGCTTTCCCATCTCTCAGACTGCAGAGACAACTGAGCCTTAATTCATCACAGCTGCTGAATAGACAGCGATTTTCCTCTATTTAAACCGTGATTGACACAAAAAAAGGTTCTAGAAAGAGAATTTTCATTTTTGTTGTCGAGGGGAGAAATGTGATTATCAAGACTTGGTTGAGATATCTCGAACAGTTGACAAAAAGCATCGAAAGAAACACAATAAAAAAGAGAAAAGGACTGAAAATGGCTCACAAAAAAAATCCCAAAAGGAACCCGAAAGCATGTCATCTACTATAAGACATGATTTTCTTCCTCGTCAAGGAGTGATACGATTGAAACAAAAAGCAGTGGTGTCGAATTTCAGCTCCACCATTGTGTGAAATTAGCAAATAAAAATAACACTGACCCAAGTTTGTGACCGGTATGAACTCAAAATAGAACTGCTGCAGCTGTTGCAACCGCAACACTCATTGGGTGCGTTCGATTAGCTTCCCTGAATACACCAGTATTACACGCAAGGGAAGCCTAGAAATGAGGCAAATCGAACGCTGCAGTGTATTCGCCAAGGCATCCTGAGAAAAAGGACAAGTCCCCGTCACGTTCCATCATGTCCGTGCACGAACAGTCCATCCGTGACGTCATTACACTTGGGCAGCCTCCACAGGCCTGCTCGCCAGCTGGGGCAGTGGTGGCACACCAGAGCAGGCACGAAGATCACGTGATGGCTAAACGAACGCTCTCGAGTAACTTTGACTTACACGAGTAAGCTAATCGAACGATTGATCTCCATATTGCATCCAAAGATGGCAAGACAGCAATAACTGATCTCCACAAAAGGATTGGAAACGCCCTCGACGGCAAATACAACATGAGGAAAAATCTGATTTGAAGTGGAAATCGGTATGCTTTGACAGAAAAGGAGTTGCAACTTTTTCTGAAAATACCTGTAGGGTTGCAAGCCCATAACTAGGACTTTCAGGTAAGGGGGTGCGAATCATTAACAAAGGGGACCATGCATAGATTGTGGTTTTTTTAATTTTTGAAAAACAACAGGATTCTTGAGGCCGCACTAATTATTTTTAGGGGTGTTACAAGTAAACTCACAAAGAGGGGATTGACGAAGGCGAAACATACCGAAGTGCGCTTCATTTTTTGCCCAAAATGTTTCACTATAGCTTAAAATATTTTTCTTGCCTCAAAAACAAAATTGATAAGTCGCGTGGGGGTGCAGACGCACCCCTGCAACCGCCCACCCCCGTTACGGGCCTGGGTTGGTAACAAAGTCAACCAAAGTTGTGTCATTGAATACCATTATGTGATTATTGCATCCCTGAGGGACGTTACTTGCATCATGTTACTTGCATCATGTTACCCCATATTCAAGACATTGAGTAAATAGTACCAAGGCACAACAAGTATCCACTTTCAAATACCTTAAATTCCAAAGTTTTGGTTGTTGGAGGAGATGGCTATAATGTCAATACTGGGGGGCTGGTCGGTGCCATCCATCACCTTGAAATGTTCCTAGGTAGACAACTAGATATTAGATATGCATGTTACATGGCAATGAAATACCAATACTCTTTATCCTCTCTGATTGTCACACTAAATGCCACCAGACGATTATGAAAAATTTAAGGAGCAGGCATGCACACAGGAAGTAGTAGATTTTAGAACATTGGTTTTAGTTACTTTATCAAAAAGACAAACCAGAGTAAACTCCACGGGAAAAGGAAACCAGAGCCAAAAGTTCCTTTAAAACTCTGATTAAAAATTAGGATGATTCACAATGACTCATCACTTTTTAAGAGAAATTTCGATCCATTTTTAGGTTGGGCAAAATGCTCTTTTGATCTATTTATAGTAGGTCTTAAATTTAGTATACCATAATGAGTACAGGCCAGTGAGGTGTCCTTAAAGAAATTATACGATTGATTGGCAGCAAGTGTGTATCGTAGGTCTTAAATTTAGTATATCATAACGGGTACACGTCAGTGAAGTGTTCTTAAAGAAATTATACGATTGATTGGCAGCAAGTGTTGGGAACAGAAAAAGAGTCACCACACGTCGTAGTTTGAACGAAGGTGATTTTTATTTTGCATAGGTCTTCAAATAAACAAAATTCAGTTATGATCAGCGAGGTTGAGCAAAAGTGGGCGCACTTTTCCTTTCCATAGCAACGGAGGTTCCCTTGTTGGGTTCTGCTCCTAGCTTCTTCACAAATGACTACAACACGCATGCGTCGCTACCAACAAACTAGACACTCCTCACATGAACATGGTTCTTTTCAACTTATGAAGAGTTTTTCTTTTCAGGATGGCCAGACTAAGTCAAAACGTGTCTTTTGTTAAGCTTCCAACCATAAAAAAGAGAAAAATTTCAAGGCAAATCAATATTTTTGTATTTAAAAAATTTCTGGCCATTTATTACATTTCGAAACAGTTTCGAAACGAGGCAAAGTGTTGTTTTTATTTTACTTAATCGTATGGCAGAAACTGTACACTGTAATGAAAAAAATACAAGCTTACACGTTTAAGTGTTCTCACAAAGTGTAATTACTATTGCTTCCATGAGACAGTCACGTGGGTCACAAATAAATTCTTGTCAGATCCACGTCACATTAGCAGGCACATAAAAATTATTGGTGTATTGCATCTTAGAATGGATTTATGAATAATTATTGGAAGGATAGGAATTACAGCAGGAAAAGCTAAAATTGTCATTGTCGTGGCTGATGTTAATGTTATTTATTCCTGGAGAAAATGTTGATAGTTCGACCCGACGCACTTTCTAATTATTTTTATTTTGATTTTAAAAAGGAAGCAATAACAAAACCTTTTTTCCAACAACTCACTCTTAATGAAAACTCAAAGTTAGAAAGCATGCATGGAAAATAATTGCAAAAGAATCCAGGCTTGCTACCCAGAGCATGTGTTATGCAAGCATGGGGGACGGAAATGAATGGAATAAAGTTGCCCTCTATGAAGACGATGAAGCTAGGGTCGACAGAATACGCGGGTGACGGAAGGTGGACATTTAAGAAGGAAAATGTGAAAGATGGAAGAAGCGGAAGGCCGCAAGACAAGACGGTCGACGGCACATTGCGACGCACGATGCGACACGTCGTGTGTGTACAAACGTAATGGCAAGGAGCCGGCCCGATGTGACTGCACGATGTGAGCCGTTGTGTAATTGCATGGTGTAGTTGCGTCGCCTACAGAGACAGAAGTTTGTGTCGTAAATAGTACACCATAATAACAACTTAATACGACTGTTTGTTTCTGTTTGCATCATTCAGATGCTTTCTTTAATGCTTCAGTGCATATCTGCCCCCCGTCGTTGGCATTGACGACGTTCACGTCGTATCTCCCCACCTCTGCGACAGCAATGTTGCATTTTCCTAACAAGGCAACATGCATGCGCATGCTTTTTCAAAGCGTTACACTGATAGTATGGAATTCCATACCTGCCGTCGTCCGTCGCATTTTGCTTTTTGTTGTGTCCCAATTCTGCCATTTACCAGTTCCAAACATGCCATTTTCCGTCGTCCGTCGCCCGTCGTGCGTCGCCCGTCACCCGTCGTGCGTCGCCCATCAAATGTGTTGCATAGGACCTGAAAAAGCCGTTGCTTAAAAAATGACAATGTGATGATTCCATTCACTTCT